TGTGTTTCATGATACAGAGAAGTCAAATTAAACATTTTATTTTCCTAAAATCTGTCTTATATTTGAAATTATATTTTTGTCAATCGAATTATCAAGTAAATTGTAAATCCTTAGATTAAGTAAATAGGTCGATTACACTGATGCAACGTCGTACAATTACAGAGAAAATATATAGATATAATATACTATTACGATAATTTCGTATTAAGTATCTGCTGGTTTTGTTGGGTTTTTTTTGTCGATTTCTACGATCTAACTTATTGTTAAAGAAATCAAATATAACGAAATATCGTTATTTCCGTCATAATATTATACGGTATTTTCTGAGTTTCAGTCGATCGTTGATGATTGTAGTGCGTTGAGTGTTTATACCGAAATCTAGTAATATGGAAAATACAATTAAACTTATACAATCCGAAAAAGGAAAACAGTTAGTTCTTTTAAATTTTAATAAGTATAGGCATGTAAGAACACGTAAAGACGGAATGCATAAATGGCTTTGTACAATTAGAACGTGTTACGCAAGCATAGTTACTGATGCGCATAAGACTTCTATTGTAAATATTATTGGTGAACATACGCATGAATCTAATTCTGAAGTGAAAATAGAAAGACAAATTTTGCGAGAAAATTGTAAAAGACAAGCAGAAGATGGAATTTCAACACGACCAATCAAAATTATTAGAAAAGAACTAATGAATAGTGTAAGCTGTAATTTCGAAATGAAAGACATTATTTCAGTTCGGAAAGCTATGTACGATAAGAGAAGACAATCTTATCCCCTATTTCCGACTTCATTAAATGATGCTATACGTCAGTTACAGAACATGAAAAATGATAATTGTTGTATTCAGTTGGAAGAAAATTTTGTTCATGTTTCGACTGAAAACAATTTAGTTTGCCTTACAAATAAAGAAAACTTGCAGTTTATGATGAATTGTTCAGAGCTATTCGCAGATGGCACATTTCAATACGCGCCCAAACACTTTTATCAACTTTATACTATCCACTGTTATAAAAATGGATTTTATGCACCGGTTGTTTACTTTTTTTTGCCAAATAAAACCAAAGAAACCTACCAAAACATGTGGCTATTTCTTATGGACCTGTGTATGAAGTTGACTTTAAAAAAACTAGTAGTTACTAAATTCAGACTAGACTTTGAAATCGGAGCTCATGAAGCAATTAGAGATATATTCCCGGATGCAAAATTGATGGGTTGCAGATTTCACTTGGGGCAAGCCTGGTGGCGTAAAGTATGTAAAATATAATATTTTTTAGATAAATTATTTTTAAATTTGACAATAATTTTGATACATAAAAACTGAATATAATTATTTATATTATTTAGTATTTCGATGCATAATAATTAATAAAGTACATACATCGATACATAATACACAACATATTATAAATAATTTATTTTAAATATAAGTTATTTAATTATAAAATGTAATATTTAAATTTTAGATCCAACAAGAAAAAGTATTAAGAATAGCTTATATGAACGAAAGTGACCAATTAGGAACATGGTTGAAATCATTCTTTGCACTTGCATATCACCCATTTACTGAAATTGAGGATAGTTTTCTTGAACTAATGGCTACGTGTCCGAACGAGAAATATGGTCACATTTTTTCAGACTATGTATTAAAAACATATATTGAACCAGGATGTCCATTTCCTCCAGAAATGTGGGCTCAAGAACCAAAAACGAATCCTCGGTGAGCAGTTTATACAATATATATTTTTAATATTCTTAATTGTTTATATTCATAATTTTTAGTACCACAAATGGNAAATAGCAGAGTAAACTAAAAATGTGTTTCATGATACAGAGAAGTCAAATTAAACATTTTATTTTCCTAAAATCTGTCTTATATTTGAAATTATAACCAAAAAAAGACTTAAACAGAATCCAAAGCACCATAAAGGATTATGATGAGTATAAAAATATCCATAAAAATGTAACTCAATATTTAAAAGTAGTAGGCTATAGATGTCAAGGAATCGAAATTTAAACTTACTTATTTATTAAATTACTTTTTTACCATTAACTTTTTTTACTAATTATTTTAGAACTAGTTTATTCAATATTTTTTATATTATTATTATTTTATATTATATTATTTATTAATACGATGAAAAAATTAAATTTGACAACGTTGCATATAATTTCAGACGCAATCGTGTTTATTTATTTTTTTCTTAAGGGTACTTTTAACCCATCTACAAACATACGCAATCGTGTTGCCAAAAAGGACAAACGTACGCAATCGTGTTCTACCCTTGCTTAATTGCAACTGTTGACGTAGACAACATTTCTGACAAGTCTTGTATAATAAATTCTAAAAATGCTTTTAGTAAATGATGTAATTTTTGGAATCTTTTAAGTCGAAGTACAGTTGCCTCAGACAAGGTATATGATATCTGTGGTTGCAAATTTCCTGTACCTATTGTTACACGGTGGAATTCATCATTTGATGTTGTAAAAAAAAATAATTGCACACAAAGAAACTGTTACATCTTTATTTAATGATTTAAAACTTCAACAACTAAAAAAAAAGATTGGTCGTTTTTAGAAGAATATTGTTTGGTTATGGAACCGCTTGCCATTTCACTTGACAAGATACAAGTAGAAAAATCATGTTTTCTAGGATATGTCCAACCATGACATCATTAAGACTTTTACAAATCCAACAAACCAATTTAATATATTGTAGATGTTTAGCGTTATCAATTATTAAAAGTCTTGAAAAAAGATTTGATTTTATATTTGATTTGGAAAATATTAAAAGCAAGCCATATATTATTGCTTCAATATCACATTCAAAGTTTAAGCTATCATGGATTCCTGCTAGATACTGTTTGTAAAAAAATATTTTTATCTGAATGTAATTTCATGAATACAGTCATTAATACAGATTCCAATGAAAATGAAATTGATTCTGCTGATAGTGATGAAGAATTGTATGGTATTTTAACACAGAGTAAATATTCATTAAATCATTCGGCTGCTGAAAGTGTTGAATTAAATAATGATAACAGTAATGGTGCAACTGTACAAGCACTATCTTATTTAGATTAAAAAAACAAAAACATAGACATATTAAACACATTTTTGACTGTCAAAAAAGTTTTTTTTTAATATAATACCACTCTACCGTCTTCAGCACCACAGGAAAGACTTTTTAGTAGTGGATCCCAAATCTTAACACCAAGAAGAAAAAGACTTCAGGATAAAACATTTGAAATGCTACTTTGTAGCAGATGTTTAATGAAAGAATTTAATCATTAATGTATAGAATATATATTAAGTTTTTTTATGTTTATAAATTTTTTTTATATTTTATTAATATTTTAATATTATTTGTAAATTTACCTATATACATTTATATATATAATGTTTTATTTGTTATAAATTATAATACTATACTGTTATGATAAGCAGGTACCTACGAGGTTATAATTTTATTGTTTTTAATATGATCTTCATTTTTATACTTATGAAGTTTTTTTTTATTAATATAAATTTATATTTAATATATATAATATATATTTACCATATATACTATTGTTTAACTAATTATCTTTTTATGAAAAAATTATGAATATTTTTTAATTGTATTTTGTAAATTTTGATGTATTGTTTCGTAAATATAAGCATACATAAAAGTTTACAATGATTCAATGTTAATATGATCTACATTGTTTATAGGTTTATAATTTATCAAATAAGAAGATCATTTTAATACCATATTATAGGAGTATAAAATGTACAAACAGTAACCACACTTTAAAAAAAATAATCAGAGTAGGTAGTATAATTTTTAGACAAAAATAAAAATTTTTATAGATTAAAAAATTAAATGTAGTTTAAATAACAAGAGTAATAATTAAAATTTAAATTCGTATCTCTTTTTTTATTCAGATAAATAGTATTTATCTTTTATCTTTATCTAGATAAATATTTAGTTATTTTTGCTAAACACTGGTTATTGATGGTATTAAATTTGAATTCAATAATATAAAACCATTGTAAATGAAAAACAATTTTAAGCGGATATGGTCAGTTTAAAATATTTTATTTTGTTATTTCTTATTATTAATACAGTCGACGGAAAGTTGAATGAATATTCATAATATTATTCTTAAATTGTCAGTGATGCTAGAAAAACATTATACATAAGTATGTGAAATTAGGTTATTTTGAAACCGAATTACAAAGAAATGACTAAAATTGTTATTTTTTTAAGTTAATATGCGATTTCATCTGAATTTGAACTTAAAATAACTTTAAAAAAGCTGTTAATGTGTTTATTTTTAGATTTTCAATTCTTAGATAAAAAAAATTGAAAATTGAATACATTTTCAACTAGAAAATCATTTTTAAATTTTCAAAATGATAAATGTTGTCAAAATTTGAACTTTAAATGCTTATAAAAAAAAGAACTAGCATAACTTACGCGTAAACTTCTGTTGCATGGATTAGTGCAGAGATGCACTATGCGTGTAAAGAAAATTAATTTACGTCTGGTGGGCAATTAATACATGATCTATTGAATACAATTAATTAAATACTTTATAGTTCTAATACTAAATAAAGAAGTATATTTTTGTTTTATGGTGCAGAGGTAATCTTCAATATGTTGCCAAACGTTTGCAACATAGATGATTCAATGGGTGGTGTAACGATTTCTTTTTTTCTGATATAACTCATAACGTTATATGATCATCGATTCATTAACGTTAAACTTGCAGGTATGGGTATGTGGAATTATTTATCTGACTGTACTAATAGAGTATTAAATAAAGTAAACTTTTTTTTTTAAATATGCAAATCAAATAATAAATATACTTTTTAGATATAATATAACAATAATTTAATAGTAATTACAATTAATAAAAAGTAATCTATATTTTCATTTGTTATGATAAATATTTTATTTTTTCTACATTGTCGCCTTAATTTTTATACTAAAGATTTGAATATTATCATTGGCACAATTTCCCTAGGATTTTTGAATCTCCCAGTATGAAAATGATGATAAGTATTATACTGTGAGTATGAATTTACTAGGAATATATTACCGGGGATTACATTTCATTTTAGTACCTCCCGGAATGAAATTTAAGGAGTTATAAATATCCTAGGAAAATTATACCAGTGGTATAAAATGTCTAGGATATTCGTACTCAAGGTATGACATTTTGGGAGGTATAGGTATCCTCGGATTATCATACAGGAGGTATAAATTTCCTAGGATTTTCATACCCCCATGGCCTCACGGAGGTATTATTAATTAAACTATTAATATCCTAGGAAATTTGTACCGAGGGTACTGATAACCTAGGAAAATCATACCCACGGGGGTTATAAATATCCGGGGGTATAATTCACTTGTTACATAGTAGGTACTATATGTATATACTGATATTTATTAACTACAGAGCGATAAAAACAGTGATTAAGTTATAAATTAAGAATTAATATCATGTATTTACAAATATTATTAAAATAATTGCTACAACTTATGTGGGCATATGGACATTTTATGTTACACTGTTATGAGTAATATCGAGTTTTGACATTATACCTATGGGTAAGAATGTATAAGAAGGTAAATAAAAGGTAATATCAGGCAGATTACAAAGTAACTAATATACGATTTAAATAATTTAAATTTAGCCAAGGGATGAAGGCCGGATTGCCAAGAATAGTCAGCGGCCATTCATTAGGAATCAAAGTTTTTTTTTCATCATCACGCCGTGTATAATTTTTAAATATAATTTATTTCCAGCGGTCGACCGATTATAAATTCTAATATAACTACATAATATATACATTTATAAAATATCACTATCACTACTAATAAATACCTAAATTGGCTAAACATCAACCTGTGCTGGGCTTACAAAACAAAGGGGGAATGGAAAAAATAAATATCGTTCGGTGAGTATTAAAATCATAATAATTAATAGCGTAGAGCACTACACTACTACTGGTGTCTACATTGCAGTGTATCCGGCTATGCGGTAATCGGTTGTGGTTTGTACAGCTGTCTGAGGTGCTGCACTGCGTCCGAGGACCCGTCGCCACCCGCCACTTCTCCGGAGACCACGTTATTGCTTTCATCGTCCGCCACGTACCCAGGGCTCATCTGCAACCTCCACGCGTTCAGCCAGTCCTTTGGCTTGCCGCCACTTGAGCCACTGCCCTGTCCGACGGTCGCATGCCTCTTACTCGCCACTGCGGGTGCGGAGGCAGCGCTCGCCCCTGCACTGCCACCGATGGGCAACGTGTTGGTCTGCGGCCCTAGTTCCAACTGGAACTGCACGTCTGCATTTGGACCCAACCGAAAGCCCACGCCCAGTCTTGAGTCGGTTCCTGAAAAGAATTACAGAATTATTTAAAGTCTCCTGAAAACATCTGATCACTTGTCAGAAAAACGTATAATGTGTATACGGTGGATTTGGAAAAAGCACAAACAAATTTGAAAATAGTATACATCTACATGATTAGTGTAGGCTCCTGATTGTAATACTGTAAATGAAGACCACAAACTTATAACGTAAAAATGAAACATGACAATTTCTTAAAACAAATGCATTTCTAATTAATTCCTAAAGTTTTATAAGAATAACAATAAAATAAAATAACCATCATATTTATATTTATAATTTATAGCATAATATTAAAGTGAAAGCTTTAATTATTTCAATACGAATTAATATAATTAATATAAGAGAGGACCTGAGAGTTTTTTACTTTGAAAGTTAATTGCCACACAATATTCTGAATAAAACATTATAAAGTAATTTATTAAACATTAATTCAAAAAATTATTTTTTTTTACTTTTAAACCAAACTTATAACTTAATATTTAAGGCCTACAATAACCTCACAGTGAGTTTATTTATTTATTTTTATTTTCGATAAATCAGCTTAATATAATGATATATGAGTTACAAAAGTAGTAAAACAAGAACAATAACAATTTTTAAAATTTAAACGTATTAATTAGGCAAAAAATTACTTGTGTAGCTGTTATAGCGGGGCTTAATTAGGAATACATGGAAAATATATTTTGACCAACCATTAGTTAATCAAATCAAAATTTATTTCAAATGATTATAAATTCACAACACCACAAAAATTTCAAAATGAACATATTAATCTTATAATATAATGTAAGGTATATGCAATAACAATATACCTAACTATTATAAATTATATTTCCTGCCATATATTTATATAATTATATCTATTCATTAAGCAATATATCATTTTCTTTAAGTACTCAATTAATATTGTATACTAAACTATAGCTAGGTATTTATTGTATTATCGATCTTTACCTTTCTTGATCGGTGGCATGTTACTGTAAACTACCGACAGCAACGATGGGATTTCTTCAGGCACAAAAATGGTTGCGTTTACGTCTGTGAATCAATTAAAAACATAGACGTCATTAGGTCACACAAATAAGCGAAATGTTTACTTGATAGTTGCAGTTATACGAATCATATACTCAAGAGAGTCTAACAAAATCTATTTCATGACATTAAAGGAGGAAAGATGAAATCATTTATATTTTTCACCATTCATAATTTCCCTTTTTTCAAAATGTCTATAGGGAATTGGTAGGTATATATACTAAGATGTTTTTGAATTTTACTCAATAAAATTGTACAAAACATTTTTCCCTATCTTATACAGAAAAAAAATAGAATGTTATTATATATTAATTATTAGGTACCTTAAATAATACAATTTATCAGGTTAGTCATCAAGAGGACTGTGTGCAGAACCAATTACAATTATTTTAGAAAACCAATATTCTTTTTTCACACAGTGGGATTATTATAAGTGGGTACTATTCATATTATTTTTAATTTACCACTTATTTGATACATCGTTTTTTCAGAAAAATACTTTGTATAGTAATTTATTAAATTATAATATGTTTTTAAAATTACATATAGTATAAAAAAAGAAAATATCTAATTAGTATTCTAAAAAAAAGATCATTGTGGTTTGTGAATGATAAATAGTTCTACAGAAAGTTAACAAAAATTACAATAACGAAATGTCGAAATATGTATTACTAAATTAATTTATTTTACGTAGATACTTGGAATTCTACTTCATATAATAATATGACCAATAGTTATTTACGTTTTATTCGAAGAGATGATGATTCATAGAGATATTTTTTATGGATCTCACGTTTTATTTTTTCCAAATTAATATCCACGTCTTATAATTATAATATTATACGCCCATGACCCATCTGTAGGTGCATTGATTATAAGTTTTTTTAGTTCATATTTTGTACACAAATAAATTTAGAAGTATTATTTACATTAGTCAAAGCGTGAATCATTTTACTTTCTTTATTAAAAAAGTGTTGTTTGGTCCGTGTCATTTGACGATGCTGCTATTTAATGTTATAAATTATTTATAATGTTCCTACTCCTACGTATTAAATACGAATAATATTATGTAGCAAATGAGCCTAACATGCTATCCGTAACGATAATGATGAGAGTTTTACGACAAGACACGCGACATACACAATAAATGTATTTTTCTATTACTTTCTTTTCGTTTATAAGATCCGGTACATATTTCGTGTTCTTAATAAATTATAATTTGATCTGAGAAAAATATAACATTAACATATACAGTATACGTGAGCGAGACATGGGTACATGATATATTATGCTTTAAGAATATCGAAGCCACGGTGCACAATATATAGGTAGGTATGTATAGTTTTTTCGTCTCTTACGAGGTTATTTAAAAAAAGTAATTCATCAATCAAAAAACTTGTTTGTTTAAATCGTTGTATTGGTTCTACCTTACCTACTAAATCGCAGTAGTATAGGTTTCGTAACGTTGCAATTACTGATAACTGCATAAATATACAAGCTTAAACTATTAACTTAATTATTATTAATAATTTTTTTTTTTATTGATCATTACAGCTTCGGCAGCATAGGCCATTAGCTTGTGTGTTTTTATTAATAATTTAATCTGGTCTTTAGAGGCTGAAAGGTATAATAGATGTATAGAAATATAAAACCACAATAATGTTATTACTTATTCGATAAAAATGGAAAAAAAATATTATTTGATCAAACAAGTACATAGAAAGTTCAAGCCTTCATGGTATACATAATCTGTGAGCTTACCAGTAACAACAGGTAGTATTTGCGAAAAAATTGTTAATCCAATATTTTACCAATAAGTATGAATTGATCATCACTTTTACTGTAAGAATCTAAAGTCTTAACGTATGTAAGGTAAAAATGAGGTATAGTTACGAGATAGCTTATTTTTGTTTGGACATACGCAGTGTTTGTAACTCGTAGACCGTATAGTGTTTTAATTGTATTATGTTGACAAAATTATTTTGGACTGATACTATAATAACAGCAAGTGTAACGTACAATATTCGAATAATATGCCGTTAATTGCAATAGAAATAGACTTTATGTCTTACGTAGAAGTCACTGTAGAGACTATGATTTATTCAATTTAAGTCGGTGTAAAATCATATTATGTTATGACTATATACTATACTATACTATACTATATATATTGTAATTGGCATATAATATAACGAGGCGGGTACACTGTGGTGACCTCAATCCAAAATATACTATGTTCGATACCTACGTTACGTTTGGTCGGTGTCACCCAACACCGTAAGTAAAACTGATCAATTTATTTTTTAGAGTGGTGGAAGATGTCGAAAAAACATAAATATTAAAACACATAGTTAATTGAAAGTAATGTTCGAAGACAAGCTTTGGCGAATTTTTTTCATTTGATTCCTTCACGATCACGCATATATTATTATAATATATACGATTTACCTACTCCGCCGCTTTGTTTCAAAATTCCCATTTTCAGTAAAAACAAACAGGCACAATATGCAATATGTACCCAAATAAATAATTTATTGTTAATCAGAATATAATTTAGCACAGAATTTATCTACTTTGAATGCCATTAAAAACAGCCACGGTGAACGTATTATATCGTAGGCAAATATTATGCAGCATGGTTACAGCAATATTCGAAAATGGCATGTATCATGTGTACAGGGGTTTTAGATAAGGAAAACATTATTCGTGTGATGTTTTTTTTTATTCGAAGTCGATAGTCAAACAACCAATTGGTGAATTGTCTACCCTTGACGGGGACGAACGCGAAACAATTTATAGGCATGCAAATAGTTTTTACTGTAATATGCACAATATAGAAAATAGAAGTCCTAGCCAGATCAAATACACAGCATTTATGTATACATTATTTTTAACAGTTTTGAAAAAATATGTTCAGGTACTTACGATATGTCGCGTAAAGCGTGATCAGTGGTAGCACGATGAGACATGACAGTGGCGGTACGCGAGCCATCATGCCGACGATAAGACTGAGGCCGTGGACAGTGATCGTAAAGAGGCTCCTCTCTCTCTCACACGCGCGCACACTGGTTTTCACTACACTAAACTTTCACTTCAACGCCGTAATCGATTTCTTCAGTTATATCTGTCCATCTCAATGGCGTATTTAGTATTTTATACTAGGGAAAGGGGAACCCCATACCAATGTATTTATCCGGAGCTCACTGATTTCATGATGCCCGAGGGGTTTTGCGTCCTCAACACCCAAGTAACCTTACAATAAATTGTGATAACTTAATAATTATAGCATTACAAATACAAAATAGGTACGTTTCCAAAATTATATAGATATAATCCATTACATGAGAATGCTTGAGAATATATTTATTTTTTGCTGAAACAAAATATAGTAGGTATCTAGTATCTATTACCTACCTGTAAATAAAAAACTTATGGAATTTAAATATTATTATGCACATAATAGTCTTACTCATTTATCATCATTTGTCTATTAACATCTATAATTTATAACACAAAATCCTACTTTCTGTTTTATAAAATTAACTCAACAATTTGAACAATTACTACTTATGGCATAATTTTGATATTCCGTTGACAATGCGCGATATGCCTTATAGGCGAGCCTAATTAGTCTACTCACGCGTGATCGTTCAGCTAGTTGGGCTTAGCTATAAAATCATAATAAATATACATATTTTATGTAACACTTGTCAAGTGTAAACATTTAATTAAAATTATTAAAGGCTTCAACGCACTGCGGTATTTTTGAAGTCACGCCGAATGGTTTTACCGTTTGTGTATTTTACGACCACCGCCGCAATGCAAACTTTTTTCAGTGCCATCCCACGTCACCGAGACCCAATACATTTTTCGACTACTAATTATTCACATACTTCCAATATGCAAACTCTCAATTCGCTAAAAGATATGCATCATGGGCGGATAGACCCAAGTAGAAATCAGGATTTTTATACTATCAATATCATCATACTCGGGGGCCCTATATCCCGAAAAATTAAAAAAAAAAATCATGTAAAAATTAATTTTTATAGTACTGTAATTAATATTATATAGCTCAGCAGTTTTAATGCGTAATATTTATACACTCCATTAGGGGCCTCTGTATAATACTCGATGATACCCGTATTAATAAATACCTATTTTGTTGTATGTACTACTGTACAAAAACTAACATTATAATGTATATAAAATGTAAATATAAATAAATATGTTCCTTGTTCGAATGACAATAATAAACAAATATAATAATAATTAGTAGGTATTTAAGTATATTAATATAACAGCAATACATTTTAATAATTATATTTTTTTAACAATTGATTGGTAGTATATATATTATAGGCCCTAGTTATCCTAGAATCCAGTCGAAAAAACTAATTTGATTAGTTCGCAAAATTAAACTTTAGGTTGAAGCCGATAGGGCAAAGATTACACTGAGTAGCTCGGGACAAAAAATAAAAAAACCATTTAAAAAAATTTGAGGCTCCAAACGTTATGCGAATGCATAAAAATTCTGAGTTAAGTGTTGAAGAGTTTTTAACTCAAGTTAGAAACAATATTGGGACACGCGAAGGTTATAGGCTAAAGATATATTTTTTATTTAGGTTATAGAGTAAAGTAATATTTGGTGTGTAAATGTGTAATGTAATAATTTATGTAATTTTTAAAAAATTTTAATGTATTTTTACATGTCAATTTGGTGTTTTTAAATATAAATTTTTACCCGACTTTTTAGTAGAATACCGTGGAATAGAGTATTTTATGTCTGACGTATGTATAGTGTTATTATTTTGTTGCTACCCGCATTATAAAAGTTGTATTTAAAAAAAATGTGTTTTACACAACACTAGGTAATTTCAAAGAAGCATGCCAGTTAATGGCTGAGTACAGTGGCGACATGACAAGGATTTTATGAAACTCGGGTCTCATGGCTGTTTTTGGGTGGGTGAATTCTGGATGGTCGACTATAGTGCAAAAAATTGGCTGACCATAGATATAAATTAAAGACAGTATAGATAGTAACACTCGTTATTCTTGGATTGCAAGTAAAGGGACGAAACAAACACAAAATTATGTCTAAAAAATAAAGACATAAATTATTAAAGTTAGGAACTCACCGCGTCCAGACATAATATTCTGTACTTCAAAAAAAGTGGCTCATTCCAAATAAACTCAATATTTACGTCAATATACATAGGTACCTCATATGTGAGTTTATTTTCCACAATTAACTATTTCAAATCAAAACTTAGCAATAATATATTATTACTGGATGAAACTTATGATGCGTATTTTATTAAAAGATTTTGACAGACATTAAAATAATTTCAGTTACCTGTTTTAAAACCTCCATGACATTGACCAAAAATTGTTTATAGTTTTACCTATGAACATAATAGTGGTACATGAATGTTTTTCCAAACTTTGAATACAAAATGTTGACAAGTGATCAGAAAATAGTTTGCTACCCCTGATCTAAGGTATCTGATGTATTACGGACAGTTTTTTCAAGAAAATGTACTTTGAAAATTTTTTATACTTAAGAAGTTTATGAAACAATTTTAGGAGTGAGTGGTCCTTAAAATGTTTTTGTCACATGAATGAATAATTTTTAAGTCACCACTGGCTAAGCATGACAAAGATTGAAGATTAAGTATGTGAGTAAGTTTAATTTTACAAGTCCTGACATTCAAAATGAGTTGATAAATGTTTGCAGTGATGTTTTAAAAACTAATATTATTTCTCAAATAAAATCAGTTGGTGTTTTTGCTATTATGGTTAATGATGCCATACAGGGCCGGACTGGGCCACTGTGCTACTATTCTACAGGACAGTGGGCCGCGTGCTACGGTTATATGAAAAAAATGTATAAATACTAAAAATATTAAAGTCAATCTAATTATGCAAAAGGCTTATATTTTATGCCAATAATACAAATCAATACAAGTTTACTGAGCATTTGGCAGTTGGTAGTATTATCACAAAAACACAGTGGAATTGTGGAAATATTACAAAAATAAACCCACAATACAATATTTATAGGCTATAGCCACAGATAGGTATATACAAGGAAAAAAATTTGGTTATAGTAAATAGTTGGATAATTTTCAGTTGGCGTAACGTTTTATTTAGTTATATCAAACAATGTGTTTAGTTGAGAGTACTAATATGAATTAGTTAAAAAGTTATAGTTGCGCCAACTTATTTTATTGTAATTTCAACTATATAAAATAGTAACTCAAATTCAACCATATAAAATGGTTGATGTACAAATATTGAATAGTTACAGCAACTATAATCGTTGTTAAAATTATTTTAACAATATAATATTGTAATGTCAACTATACAATTTAGTATAAGTATTATATCGATATAATTAATTAACCTGGATGGTTTTATCAACACTTAAATTATGTTATCACAAATATATTAGTATGATTGGAAATATACAAAAATAATTACGCGGCTGTCATATTACCGGGAAAACTTATTACCGGCGGTATTGGTACACCGCGTACCCCTCTTCACAGTAAACATTTTTACATATTTTATACGTTATATATACGTTTATCATTTACGAACTAACGTATAATACACGTAGATATGTAGTTGATAAAAAGTACAACTATGGTATCATTTTGGGTCAAAAGATAACTATTTAACGAATATTCAACGTTTAGTATCCGTTAGTTGTACATGTTTAATCAACGTATATTCTGCGTAAGTATTAGGTCGTTTTTTTGGATATTTTTGTATAAGTTTCATATAGATTTAGAATATACAATAGATATTTTTCGTATAAATGTAGCATATATTTAGAGTACACAATAGACATTTTTCGTGTAAGTTTAGTATATATTTAGAGTATGCAGTGGATATTTTTTGTTTAGAGTTCGTATATTTTTGAAGAATAGAATGGATATTTTTTGTATAAATGTAGTATATATTTAGGGTATGCAGTGGATATTATAGGCAGGGGCGTTCTCACGGGGGGCGATGAGGGTGTCATATCCCCCCCCCATGAACTTTTTTTATGCATTTTCTTAAGTTTCTTGCTAGTTTCGCTTTTCTCGAAAAAAGAGGTAATGCATAATTGGTTTTAATTTTTAAGTTGTATTAATAATTATTATCATCAAAGATATAAAATATATATTATAGTAGTCAGTAGATACGCATACACAATACACATCTGTGAGTAACATTACGTTATCAGATACCAATGGACTATTATAACATTAAAACATTTCAGTCCATTATGTTTCGATATCTATGTTATGAACGCGCTATATAACATCGATATATCAGTACGACAGTTAGTACAGATTATATCCATCTAACGGACCAAAATAGTTCGTTCCGGGATTCCCGTCACAATCTATTGTTATCAATAACCGAGACAAAATAAACTAATAACTGCGGGCCATCGCGCCCATCGGCCATAGACTGTAGAGTACTTACATAGTTACATCTATCTCTGACTAGTCTGACTGACCACGACAAAATAAAAATAATATATTTTTTTTTATAATATACCTAATTTATTTTGTCGTGATTTTGACGTTTGATCGTACCTCGTGCAGTCGTGCGTTTTGAAATAATAATTTTCATATTTTCATAATAATTATTATTTATTAATTATTACTATACTATTACAATTATGTCAAAACGTAAAATTAGTGATTATTTTTCTAAAAATACAAATCAAGATGATTGTGAACCAACTTCTAGTAAAAATTCAACAAAAACACCAAGTACACTGAATGAAGTAAGTACCCAATACTTAAAATGAATTTACATTTTAAAGTTTAAAAAACTTGGATAAAATGTACCTACTGCATCTGTTCCAAAATCTTTTTACTAACACTATGCAATGTGGTTTAAGATGTCGAATATTAGTGAAAAAACATCAGTTTTGGTTCCGGTTTTGAATTCAATATCACAATCGCCTTCAGTGTCAGTATTTCAAGATCAGGTAAAGTTTTATTTACTATAAAATCATTGTAAATTATATCTTTTACAATAATATTTACAGTTTTG